CTCTCTATCTCTCTCCCTTCCTCTCTGTAAAAATCATATATATATATATATATATATATATATATATAAATAAAAGAAATGAGAATTCGGGGTGGGTAGTGGGGTAGGGTGGTTATTTGCCAGAATGCAAGCCCAGACAGTGTGACTCTGGAGCTCTGTCTTCTAGCCACTACTCCATTCTATTGTGTCTTGTGAGTTTAGTCATGTCATAATTTACCTTTATTAGCACAACATTAAATAGAAATGTTAAGTTTCCAGGATAAGGATTATCTATATTTAATCATGTACATAATCAATGTAACTGACCAAAATGGTAGTTTTAGATAGATGTTAGGTAGTAATGATCTTATACATATTGTATATTAGGTAAGCCCCTAAATCTTTTAGCTAATTAAATAATGTGACTAAAAAAATCACCACATTCAAGTTATTTACAATTAATAAAACTGCTAATAGACTTACCTCAATCAATTTGTTGGCATGTTCACGGAAAACTTGGGCATACTCTTTAACTTCTTTCTCATTTCCATTCTTTGCAGCTTCAATCAACACTAAAAGTGGAACGTTGGTTTCCAGGAATGAATCTGACACATGGTCCATTACAGCTTTGCGAAGCTAATAATTAAATTGTAAAAATTCGATTTTATTTTTAACAAGAAGTTACATTGCTTATTTTTCTTGTACTTTTAAATCTAATTGAAGCTTATGATAGCTTCGCTGCACTTATATGAGGACCCCCCACCCCCAATGTGATCCATTCAGTTATATAATCTGCAACATAGGAAACATGATTGCGGAGATAATAGTTTACACCAAGCATGTCAAACTCATGGCCCATGGACTGCATGAGGCCCACAATGAATATTTTTTTTCAGACCAGCCAATATAATGGTATGTAAGACACATTTTAATAAAAATTTCGTAACTTAATTTTCACAATATCCTGTTATATATAATTATTAATAACAAACTACAAATTTCGCTAATGACTGATTACTATAATCGTGTTGCATTCATTTCCCTTACGTGCAGGCGCACCATTTCTCTCCACTAATACTAGCAGTGAATATTTTAGCAGCCGATTGCCACGTCATTAGTCTTGGACTGACTTGTTTGGTGTGTGCAACAGGAAATATTTCGCTTTCGGAGAACAAGAAAAATAGGTTCATTTGCATTATGCTTATTAATCTGTGTAGTTATTCAGTGTCTGGTAAATTAATGTTCAAGAAAATATATTAATTTTTATTAAAATGTTCCATTGTTTTATGTTAACGATTACTCATTTATTTCAGCCCTTTGTATTTAGCATGTCTCTATCGAAATAAATCTATGTTTCTATGAAAATGAAGCTTTTGTTTTTTTGTGGCCCACATAAACTTAAACCTTGCTTATTTGGCCTGTGTTAGCCTTTGAGTTTGACATGCTTGGTTTAGACCACAATTACAGCATTCCAGCAACAGAATCTCAGTTTTAAACATTAAATTTTTTTCTCTTGGGAATTACAAAGCTTATATCTTAAAGGAATAATACAAATTAGAATCCTATCAGTCTGTAGGCAGAGGCAGTCTCTGGAGGCTTTGAGTCTTTGCCTGATCTAATTAATCAGAAACAGCCTATTAACACTGTCCTGCACTAGAGATTGAGAGGTGTAGAGGATTTACCTAAAACATAGTCACAAACCCAGAAAGACAACAAAATGAGGAAACAAACAACCCCCAAATGAAAAAACTACAGAATTCTCCAGAAGAATAGATAAATGAAGCAGAGATAAGAAATTTATCTGAAACAGAGTTCAGAGTAATGATGGTAAAGATGCTCAACAGCATGAAAAAAGATATAGTAACTATGAAAAAAGAACAGTCTGAGATAAAGAATGACTAACACATTGGAAGGAATACACAGCAGATTAGGGGAAGCTGAGGATCAACTCAGTGAATTAGAAGACAGAGCTGAAAATATCACTCAATCGAAAAACCAATTAAAAAACAGGAAAACAGCTTGGGACAATGTGAAATGTAACAATATTAGAATAGTAGGTGTGCCAGAAGAGGCAGAAAGGAAGGAAGGAAGAGAGAAGGTATTTGAAGAAATAATGGCAGAAAACTTCTCTAACCTGGTAAAGGAAAAAGTCCACAAGTTCAGGAGGCACAGAGAACCCCAAACAAGAACAACCCAAACAGGCCCACACCCAGTCACATAATTAAAATGTCAAAAATTAAAGACAAAGAGAAAATCTTAAAGGCAGCAAGAGAAAAGAAAACTGTTACCTACAAAGGAGTTCCCATAAGGATGACACCTGATTTCTCATCAGAAACTTCTACATCAGAAAGGAATGGCATGAAGTACTCAAGGTAATGGAAAACAAGATCTGAGACCAAGATTACTATATCCAGCAAGGCTATCATTCAAAATAGTCAAATAAAGAACTTCCCAGTCAAAAAAAAGGATAAAGGAGTACATCACCACCAAGCCAGGATTATAAGAAATGCTAAAGGGATTGCTGTAATGAGAAGAAGAAACAGGGAGAAACCTAGCCATACAGAATTAAAATGGTAATAAATAAGTGCCTCTCAATAATAACCCTAAATGTAAGTGGACTAAATGCTCCATTCAAAAGGTGTAGGGTAGCTGAACGGATACAAAAACATGACCCAATTATATGCTATCTACAAGAGACCCACCTCAAAACAAGACACACACAGGTTGAGAGTGAAGAGATGGGAAAAAAATTTCTATGCAAATGGAAAAGAAAAAAAAGCTGAAGTAGCAATATTCACATCCAACAAAATAAACTTTAAAATGAAGGCCATCACAAGAGACAACAAAGGTCCCTACATAATACTAAAATGGTTGATCCAACAAGAGGATATAACCCTGGTAAACATATATGCACTTAAATATATGAAAAACTTCTAGAGGACTTTAATGGAGAGGTCGACAACAATATAGTGATAGTAGGGGACTTTAACACCCCTCTGACTTCACTGGATAGATCTTCCAGACAGAAACTTAACAAGGAAACAGAGACTCTAAAGAACACACTGGATCAGATGGATTTAATTGACATTTATAGAACATTTCACCCCAACGCAACAGAATATACATTCTTCTCAAGTGCACATGGATCATTCACAAAGATAGACCACATGTTAGGACACAAAACAAGTCTCTACAAGTTCAAGAAGATTGAAATCATATCAAACATCTTCTATAAATTCAACCTTATCATTTTAAAGAGTAAACGTTAATTTGATTTCAAACTGTTAATGGAATTATTTAACTTTAAATAAGAAGTTCTTTCCTCTATACCCACCGTATGTATCCTGGAAATATATCTCCATCAAGGATCTAAAGGAACTGTGAGTGTGTAATTAGAATTGAGCAAGTCAGAAAATAACTAGAATTTCTGTATTTACTAATATGTGAGCACCAAAAGATCCTTCAGGGTATTTTCAGTTCCCAAGTCATTTTAAATTGATTTTCTTATTTGTATATCCTTTTCACACTACAGCTAATTTATGCAGTCCATCCCAGTGGGACCATATTAGTTCAGGTCCCCAAGACATTTGATTAGCCATTTAGAAGCTTATGAGCAACAAAACAGACAGAGATAGAACTTAGGAAAGCAATCGGTACTTTCTTTAGCTTACCTGTCTACGCAGGTCCCTGGTCTTCTTGGTCATTTTATCTATTGCAGAATTGAGTGCATCACTTCTTTCTTTACGTCCAGCCTGGAAAAAAAAATAAAGAAATGCTCCTTTTAGTGATTCACAAAAAATTTAATGACAGTCAATAGCTATTTATGTTCAAATTAACACTGAAAAAACAGTCAACATTTTTTAGTCCAAAGTTAGAAAATACACTGAGGGGAAGTAAGGGGGGAAAGGACACAGGGGATCATTTGGCTTTGTTCATAAAAACATAACCTTACAACTCTTAGGCTTCACATCATCTGATGATGGGAACTGAGGGAGTTTTATCAAAATAAGAAAAGCCAAGGAACAAGACAAGACTGTCACTTATAAGTTCCACTTGAAAAATTAAATTTATATTTTAATTCAAGGTTCAGCATACACATATTTCATTAACAAACCAGCTCTTCTTGAAATGCAAGCTAGAACAGGTTACATCTGATTTTGATGAACTCTGAGATTTGAAAAATGTCAAAACATTAAAGTTGGCACCCAGCACTAAAACAATGTGAAAAACGAATTTTAAAACTAAGATGTACCATGGTGGGTCAAACTTAATAATGAATATTATGGAACTTGAACAAGAATGTTCTGTGAGATTATTTCAGCCATATTTTTTCTTAATTCAAGGTTAAGCTTAATGCAGTTGTATTGCACAGAATCAAAATAGATGGTAACAGAAAGAAAAGGGACAAAGGCAATTATCCTTGATAGAGCTAGCCATGTGCTTAGAAATATTTAAGACATCTGCGAGGTTAAACTATGAAGTATATCAAAAGTTTTTCCTTATAAAATGCCCAACCAAAAAATGTGGCTCTTTCTGTAAAATACATAGTAATCACAGGAGAGAGACAAACAGGCAAAGGAATTTAACCCAGTTTTCTACCTTTGGGTGCCCTCAAGACATTCTGGTATGGATATGTCATTAGTAAATAAACCGTAACAGCAAATGACTGGTTGGGGATGAGGAGACATGGTTTTGTTTTCTGAGTGCATTTTTATGTATGTTTGTTACTCGCTTTCTCTTATCCCCCATCTATTAAGTGGGAACAATGACACTTGTCCCTCTGCCCCCACTTCTAATGGACTGCTGGAGAAGAGAAGGGATACTGAGGGATATAGGTTTGCAGAGGACAAAAAGGAGACTTAAAAGTTGAAATGTAAGTGATAAATTGATATGGTCACTATCAAATCTAGTCAGGGTCACATTCCTTTCCTTTCCCCGCAATATTCCTGTGTTGCCAATAAAATTAAGTAGTCCACTAATATTAATGGGTAAAAAATAAGAGTTTCAACAAAACTGATTTGGTGCTCACTCCAGCAACACATGTATTAAAATTGGAACAATATAGAAAAGATTAGCATCGCCTATGCATAAGGATGACACAAATTCATGAAGCGTTCCATATTTAAAGCAAAACAAAAGTGATTCAGGTATGAGAATTGCTACCTGCAGGAATAAACTGTGATTTATTCATAGCCATTAGTAAGAAAAGAATGTGACAAGTATAATTAATTTCTGACAATCTCAAAGATCAAATACCAGGATCTCAGGGAAAGGTATCTGAAATTTAATTTAAAAAACAAAAACAAAAACAAAAAACAGAGCCCTAACTGGTTTGGCTCAGTGGACAGAGCATCAGCCTGCGGACTCAAGGGTCCTGGGTTCGATTCCGGTCAAGGGCATGTACCTTGGTTGCGGGCACATCCCCAGTTGGGAGTGTGCAGGAGGCAGCTGATCGATGTTTCTCTCTCATCGATGTTTCTAACTCTCTATCCCTCTCCCTTCCTCTCTGTAAAAAATCAATAAAATATATTTTTAAAAAAACAAACAAAAAAAAACCAGAAAGAATGCATGTAATCTTATGTTCATAGCAGGACAATATACAATAGCTAAGATCTGGAAATAGCCCAAGTGCCCATCAGTAGGTGAGTGGATAAAAAAGATGTGGTATGTTAATACCATGGAATACTATGCAGCAGTAATAAAGAAGAATCTCTTACCCTTTGAGAAAGCATGGAGGGACCTGGAGAGTATCATGCTAAGTGAAATAAGTCAGTCAGAGAAAGACAAGTATCACATGATCACACTCATATGTGAAATCTAAGTAACAAAATAAACTGATGAACGGAGTGGATGCAGAGATATGGAAGCATGGAACAGAATGCGGAATCTCAGAAGGAAGGGGGCTGGGTTAGTCAACCAAAGACCTGGTATGCATATATGTATAGCCCATGGACACAGACAATAGGGTGCTGAAGGCCTGGGCAGGAGCAGGGGAGGGCCGGGGGCAGGCTGGAGGGGGACATACGTAATACTTTCAACAATAAAACATTTTTTAAAAATTTTAAAAATGGGGTGGGGGAACCCATCTCTTCAATTAAAACAAAAAAAACCCAAAAAACTGACCTCCTAATTAATATTTTAATCAAGAAAGTCTCAGTATATTCCTTAGGTACTCAGCACTCCAAAAAAATTCCTCTATATAAACCCAGTAAAGTTTGTCATTGTTTCTAGCCATGTTTTTTGGATATTTGTAATAGATCATTTATTCCAAAAAAAACACATCTATTATCAGAAACCCAAGGTTGGGTTCAATAATCTCATGAAGGCCCAAGTCCTTGTAACCTCAAGTGCCCAGAAATTTCCTCAATTTAGGTGGAAGGATTTCCTTGGAAAGTTATATAAAAGCAAATCTTTAAAACTGACTTTTGAGGGAATTATAGTCTCACAACAAAATTCACTTTAAGATGCAACACACATCATGAATCTGTTAATTCTTTGTCCAACTACCCTAAAAAATCAATTTGTCTTTCTTGTTACTTAAGGAAATAAGAGGTTTATGCCTGCAGTTCAGAAGCATTTATTTACTGAAGCTTTTAGGTTATACTAGAGTCCAGTAATGGCAAACCTATGACACGCGTGTCAGAGGTGACATGCGAACTCATTTTTTTTTATTGATTTTTCTTTGTTAAATGGCATTTAAATATATAAAATAAATATCAAAAATATGTCTTTATTTTACTATGGTTGCAAATATCAAAAAATTTCTATATGTGACATGGCACCAGAGTTTTTCAAAATGCTGGCACGCCGAGCTCAAAAGGTTCGCCATCACTGTACTAGACAGACCATCTTTTAACTCAAAGCATCCAATCATTTAAAATACAATCGGTATGAGTATATATGCATACACACACTTATGATGAACCTGATGAAAGTAGAAAGCTGGTTGATTTGTAAAATAAAATTTTACTTGTCTTTGACATTAGATCTGTTTGGATTTTTTATTTCTAGTTTTAGATAGGCCAAAGTAAAGTTGCTCAATGAATCTTTAAAATAACTGACTTTCAGCTCCTGCCTAATTAAGAGACTATTCCACTGAGCAGAGACCACCTAGGTCAGGGGTGGGCAACCCCTGGCACGCGTGCCAAACACGGCATCCCAGTAACTTTTGCTGGCACACGAAACCCTCTCTTATAATCTTCCATTTACAATTTTTTTCTTAATATCGACTTTTTTATTTTTCAGATAAATTCAGTGTAGGTGCATCTTAGATAAATAATTTTACATAACAAGTTATCTTAAAGACCATAGACATGGATTGACGAGAGAGGGGAAGGGCAATTTTTATGCCTCTGCCTTAACTCTCCCTGCCTTCCTAGATCCGACCAGTGTTTTGGTTTCATCCACATACGCTTGTGAATCTTTGTTCTCAGTGATGAATTTTGTTAAGTCTTGTAATAGGAGTAGCCTGACGGATTAAAGTAGTAGCTCGTGCATATCTCTGAACGTCACGAAATACTGATAATATCAAACGGAGTCATAAAGTTTTCTGTTGGCCTATCAGTGTACATGTATACATTAAAAAATAAATGCATTTTTCATCATCATATACTGTGTTTTTGTCGCTCAAATGAGTTTTATTATTTCTTCAAGGTTCTTCACATACGTACACCTTAAGAGATATCAAGTAGGCGTAACATGTTCTCAAAAAATTAGGGTTGGCATGCAGAAGAATTTTGAGTCAGAGATTTTGCTGGTTTTGGCACACACTCACAAAAAGGTTGCCCACCCCTGACCTAGGTTCACTCAATTTTGTTATGTATGTCCCTGCTAAGCAGTGAGGAAAGGGCTTGATAAGAAAAAGATAAGGCATATTTCAGGTTTTAATATAAAGTTTCTCCTCTGCCAGTAAATATAAGCTGAGCTGAAGAGAGGCAAAGGTTGTTAGCTGGGACAGCCTCTAGCAACAGTTCTGATAGAGATAGGAAAGAGCTTTCAAAACCCATCTTTAACAGAAGCTTGACGAAGCTCCTCCCCCTTCCTTCATCCTATGTGGACAGACTTCTATTTCTTTAGGCACACTCTTTACTGGGCACATACTCTGCATCCATTGGAGTGGGCAGTACCAGTCATAATCCTTCTTTCAAGGGGTTTATAATCTGAGATAAAATGACACCTAATTTAGCAATATCCTGTATCATGCTGGGCCTCACAGGAGTTATGCATGACATAATAGTGGGTCAAAGGAATAAGTAAAAGTTATGCAGAGGGCTACATTTAATTTAGGCATTGATTTTTAAAAAGTATTAACTAAAATTTCATGGAGGATTTTATAAATTTTGGAGGTGACATCCGAAAGAACAAGCCTTTTTTTTCTTCCAAAGAACTGCCCCGTTTCAGAAAAAGTAAGCATTCTCCCATAACAAACTCACGACCTCTCCAACCACTCAGACCTTTGCCACAGATGATACTAGGTCTCACTGCTGTGGCTGGCACATATGTCCACTAATTCCTCACCCATAACCTAATCTTCCTCTGAAGGCCCTGACTCCACTCCAACCCTTCCCCCTCTGGGAAGAGGTAAAATAAGTAACAGTGAGGAAGGGATGAAATATGTCCCTAGCATAGCTGGTGGCATCTCAAGGTGCATTTTAGTCCTTAAAAATAATGTGACAAAGGTTCCCAGGTGAGTCTACAAAAGACTAATCAACCTAAGCACAACATAAACTCAGTGCTTCCAGGGAAAAATACACTGTGAAAATGTCCACAGCACTTCCAGAGAAGGAACATGCTATATGCTAAAGCAGCGGTTCTCAACCTGTGGGTCGCGACCCCTTTGGGGGTCAAACGACCCTTTCACAGGGATCACCTAAGACCATCGGAAAACACATATATAATTACATATTGTTTTTGTGATTAGTCACTATGCTTTAATTATGTTCAATTTGTAACAATGAAAATACATCCTGCATATCAGATATTTACATGACAATTCATAACAGTAGCAAAATTACAGTTATGAAGTAGCAACGAAAATAATTTTATGGTTGGGGGTCACTACAACATGAGGAACTGTATTAAAGGGTCGCGGCATTAGGAAGGTTGAGAACCACTGTGCTAAAGGCTCTACATGGTCCCTTCAGGGAGGGCTCTTCTGCCAAAGGCTTCCTTCTCTTCTTACTCTTCACTCTTCCTGTTGGAGCCCAGACATTACCATTACTTTAATGACGATTGTCACTCTTGCCATCTTCCATGCCATGATCCATCTACCCGCATTTTAATTCTTCAGACATGCCATGCTCTCTCTCACCAACCTGGAATATTCTTCCCACACTTCTTCTAATTCCTATCCTACCTCTAGGTGAGATATCATGCTTCCTCTAGCCACCCTTAACTCTGAGTTCGAGTTAAATGTCCCTGTGGAGTGTTCCCACAGCACCTTACACTTACCTTCACAGCCATTTTCAAATCATACCTGTCCCTCTCCCATTGGACATGAATGAAATGAGAAACTAGTGACAATTAAATACATGTTTAAAAGTCATAGGACTTAATGTGTGATCTATGTGGCAAATTATCAGTCTCCTGGATTTCATGTTATTAGTGAAGAGATAAGGCTTTTCAAATAACCCCCAATACTGCTTTCTATCTTCATTTTCATCTAAAGTAAGGCTGGAGAGAGTACCAGAGAATCCAGTGTTTTAACCATGAAACATTTAAGGACTATTTAAAAGAAAACAAGAAGGTGTGATTAAACTCAACAGGAAGGTCTAATTACATACAATGCCTCCATCAGCCACCAGAACTTAAACAAAATTTAAAAAATAAGAACCATGGCATTCCACAAGACCCATGTCAGAATGGGCATCTGAAGCGCCCTCCATCCCCACCCCCAAGACAATGAGAGAAAGGAATGAAACAGCATCATCAAGTACTAGTACAAAAGGGGAGTAGAGCCTTTAAGTAAAACAGGAGTGAGGAAGTGATATCTAAGGTGCTATTGGAAAGCTTCAGAAGAATATGGAGCTATAATATTAAAAATACACTCAAGAAAAATGCTTGAAAACCAAAGGAGACTAGCATCTACCTTCATGAGTACAACTAAAATAAAAGGTTGCTGTGGACT